ATACATACATACATACATACATACATATATATATATATACACACACACACACATCCCCCCTTTTAAGTATAAAACACCCTCATCACTTTGTGATATATGTCAAATATTACAGTTCTTTTATTGTTGTCAAGACTTTGAAGTGTAGTTCATGATTCAAATCCATATGGAGGAAACACTTTTATTAGGTTAACTGAACATTCACAAAATAGTTGATAGCCTCCAGGTGTCCCGGATTATTTATTAGACAAAGTGGTTGTGAATCAGGAGGGAGGGGGGAGAGAAGTTGGGAAGCAATATGTCATTTTTTGAAAACCTGAAAGTTTGCAACTACATTGTAAGCATTTCACTAATAATTTTGCTACAATATATAATTGGGGTTTGTTTTTCTGATATCAGGATGGATGCTTTTCCTGTTTATTATATTCAAAAATATTTTCTAAAATGAAAATGTTAACATCTTAAACTGTTCAAATGAAAATGAATACTGTTTGTTACACTTAGTTGAATACGCTATAGAATGTGTTTTCTATCATTTTCTTAAACCATAACATTAAGCCAATTCATATAATTCAAAATTATACTTTTCTTTTCTTCAGCTGGACTAGATATTGGGCCCATCTCTGACGATCCCTCCTCACTGCCTCTGCAGAATGTCAGCCAGAATTCTCGACCATTGAGTGAAGAACAGTTAGATGGGATCTTGAGCCCTGAATTGGACAAGATGGTCACAGATGGTAAATGGTTCTTTTTATATATATAGAATAATAATTTTATTAAAATTTACAAATGCAAGGATAAAAGACTAACCCAAACTAAGAAGAATATAAAAAGTAAATAAATAAATAAAAGGTGCAGGAAAAAAGAAAACAATAAAGAAAAAAATAAGAAAAAAAAGATATATAAAGAAATTACTTGCCTCTCCCTCCAAACAAGTATAAACAACTTCGGTAACTTAACACCTTCTCTAATATTTCAGTTAAAAATCTCTTCTTCCCATATCTTATCTCTTATCAATAAACAAATTGTAAAACCTCGTCATTCAGTCCTAATCAGCAAAAGTCCATTAAGAGCTACCAGAAATAATAACGTATATATTTTAACCTTAATCAAATTAATCCATTTTGTATTCTAACTTATCACTTTCCCTAGAAATAAAACAAAAGAAATCTCTCCCCATATCTTATCTGTTATCTATAAACAAATCTTTAAAGCCTCGTCATTCAGTTCTACCAGAAATAATAACGTATATATTTTAACCTTAATCAAATTAATCCATTTTGTATTCTAACTTATCACTTTCCCTAGAAATAAAACAAAAGAAATCTCTCCCCATATCTTATCTGTTATCTATAAACAAATCTTTAAAGCCTCGTCATTCAGTTCTAGTAAAAAAAAAAAAAAAAAGTTCCACTAATAGCTACCAGAAACCACAACATATATATGTTAACCCTGGTTGAATAAATCTACTTTACATTCTTTTCATTTACTTTTAAAAAGCTTGACCTTTAATCCCTTCAAATAATATCCCACAAGTTGATTTCTTATCATTATTTCTTTGTCTCCTCTCAGAAACTTCTTCACTAGTTTGACACATCTCTTTTGTAAATCTAAGATCAGAAAGCTTTCCAAGTCACTCTTCTGATTTATTATTTGTATTAATTATTTAATTAATGTAATTAATTAAGACATCAGCCGGTTTCATTTATAAATCCAATGTGGCATCTTTTTCCATATCACTCTTGTAGTCTGGCATTTTTAAATCAATTTTCAGATCCACCTTCAAATCAGCCTCAGTCTCTATTTTGTCCAATAAAATAGAGTTCCTCTTCTGTAGCTTCTGTTAAATCCATATTTATAGTGGCAGACAATCTTAAGAGTAATTTCTGGGTACAGTGTTCCCAAATATGCTTAATTTCTTCTATAGTCAAATAGTACTGCTCCATTGTATTAATGGGCCGTTTCTCCTTTAATTGTAATCTTTAGTACTCTCCGGTTCCCTCTAGTCAACCTTCAAAGTCCCCTCTTATCATATGTTTATTTTCCAATCAACAAAACTTTCCCACAGGAGGATTTCTTACACTTAATTTCAATATTTTCATATATATTTTTATAAAAATTTAAACAACCCACAGGAAATGTTCTTTCAAGTCCATCTGGCTCCTTAACTTTCCAAAATTAACATTTTAGCCCCCTTTTGCTGTTTTTCACAAATAAACATTTTTCCTTTTTAATCCTTACACCGACATGAAAGTTCTTTCATCAAGGATAGAAAGAAATTCTCCTGGCATAATGAAACTTGCCCTTCTGAAGATTCTTAAGATCCAAGGAATCAATAACAATTTCCTAAGGTGATTAAGAGAGGACTTGGGCGAACCCAGTGTCCTTATGAGGGCACTGAACCGTGGTTTAAGCAAGATGGTTTCCCCCCCCCCCCGGCTCCCAGAGCTCCAAAACCTGCCAGAGATCGCTACTTTATGATCTCTTCACAGGGAGCCAACTTGTGGGTGATTCTAGTCCTCTCATTAAGTTGGAGAGGAGTTCTGAGGAGCCGATCCATTCACCAGCTCCTCTTCCCGCTGCAGCCATCGGCTCAGCTCTTTGCGGAGCTGTCTTCAGCCCACCATTGCTTCCCTGGAAGCACAGATGATAAATGGTTATTTTGCATCATTGTCTTTCAAGCCAGCCTATTGTTTGGAAATATTACAGCCTATGTGCATTTTATAGATCAATTTCATGCTAGTAGTTCTTGAACTTGATGTATTGCAATTATCTAAATACAGTGAATTGTAATTGATAATATTTATTGCTTTTACTTTGTGCAGGTGCAATTCTTGGTAAATTGTATAAGATTCCAGGTATGTTACCTGTTTTTAATATCTTTCTGTGAAGCTTATTTCACACACACTCACGTTATATATATATGTACACCCACGTCCATATCTGTCTGCTACCTATCTAATGCCCACTTGTTGTGTTTTATAGAGCTGGGAGGAAAGGATGTTGAAGACTTGTTTACTGCTGTACTGAGTCCTGCGGCCACTCAGTCGGCTCCTTTGCCACAGCCCCCCCCACCTCCTCCACCACAGTTAATGCACTTGCACAATCAAGGTTTGCTTTTTATCATTTTAAGGTGTTTCACCATAAACAAACAATATGGTAATTGAAAGCAATTTAGGAATAGTCAGTGCCTGTTACATGATCATATGAGCATTTGAAGTTTGAGTAATGACTTCTGTTTAATCATTTTTGTCAATTACATTATATATTCCCATAAACTCAATACAGGTAATCCTTGACTTACGACCACAATTGGGACTGGAATTTCCATTGTTAAGTGATGTGGTCGTAAAGCAAGATGTCATGTGACTGCATCACTTAGGGACTGCACTCCCAGTTGCCATTGTTAACAAAATTGCGGGTTGTTAAGCAAGTACCCACCCCAATCCAAGCCATTCCAGGCTTGGTCCCTCCCAGCCTTGAGCCTCAGTAAGGTAAGGGACTGCCTCCAGCTCCCCCCACCTGCCTATCTCCCCCCATCTCTGCCCTTCTGGCTGCCCTGCACCCTGCCTTGTGGGGTGGCAAGTAGCCCCAGAACCACACGGCCCTGGGGCTGCTTGCCACACTCCAGGAAGCTGCAGCTGCCCCAGCCCAGTCCCAGCTGCAGTTACCCTCATCACCCTGCACTCCGAGACCCCTGCTGCCCAGTGCTACACTTCCCAAGCTGACCTTCACCATTTTCTTGCTCCAAAAAGCCCCTTTGCAAAAAGCCCCTGGGCAGGGCAGGACTAGGTTGGGCTTTTGCTTTGTGCTGCAGAAGGGAAAAAAAAGCCAAAAGCCCAGCCTGCTCCTGCTGGAGGGCCGAGGCTGGCCCAGTCTACCCAGTGGTTGAAGGCAGGATTGGTCTATCCACCTTCCTGAGAAGGACCAGTCTACCCACAGAAAACAGAAAGGAGGGGGTTGAAGGAGGCTGCGAGGGCCTGGTCTACCTGCCTATCACAGCTGGAGGACCAGTTCCTGGGAGCGGGCCAGTCTACCCGCAGGGGAAGGAAAAAAAGAGGAGAGGGAGCGAAGAAGGGGGTGCTGCTTTTTTCCCCCCGCAGCGTGAAGCAAAAGCCCAGCCTAGCCCTGCCCTTTTGCAAAGGGGCATTTTGGCACATCGCGCTCCAGGAGCTTTTTGCAAAGGGGCTTTTTGGAGCAAGAAGATGGCAAAGTTCAGCTGGGGCGGCAGAGCACAAGGCAGTAAAAGGCCAAGAGGACATAGATGGGGGGAGATAGGTGGGGGGGCAGTTGAAGCACTCCTGCAGTCATAAGTGCAGGTGGGCTGGCAAGCACCCAAATTTTGATCATGTGACCATGGGGGCACTGCAACAGCCATAACGTTGGGCACCAGTCCTAAGTCAGTTTTTTCAGCGTGTTTGTAACTTTGAACAGTCACTGAATGAATGGTCGTAAGCTGAGGACTACCTGTATGATATTTTGTTAATTGCCTAAATATTTTGTGTCCAATTTCAAAAGGAGCAGAAAGAGATGGATAATCTGCTCTGATAGACAAGAAAGCCATGGACTGTCTGGTTCCATAGGCTAAGTGTGAGGATGGAAAGTGCTGGCTTGTGGACTGAATGCAACTGGACAGATTCAGTCTGTAGACTCTCCTTTTCTGTTGAATCTACTTCTTTTATCTACTGAGAAATGAGCTTTCACAGAAGTCTTCATTCTGGAAGCATTTGCTCATTCTGTACCTGACGTCATAACAGATGAGGAAAAGAAGATATAAAATATCTTGAGGATCCAAACTTTGCTTTCATATTTTTGGGTCTCACGAATCTCAAACCTTTCAAACGAATGTTTTCTTGAATTGTTTGAAAACATGTGAATTTCTTGACTTTGCCTGACATGGTTTCATTGTTTAGTATAATCTGGATATTATCTAGTGCACTTGTTCCTCAATTATACAATTGTCAGTTTTGTGGAAGATTTTTCTTAGTGCAGAAATTAAACTAAGATAAGACCCAGTGCTATAGTTCTTTGAGAACTTATAGGTAAAATAAATGGTCCCTAAGGTACTCAGCACCCTTATTTCTTAGTATTCATTATCTGTGAGAAGTCAACTGAGCCACAGGGAAAGTTTTTTTATAAAGGATTCTTAATGTACCTGAACTGCACACTATAATTCATAAAAGGGGTTCTGTCCCTCTTTCTTTGTGGGGTGGGAGGAGTGGGGGGAATGTAAAGACCTTTAATTCATTTCTGCTTTCGGTGTTTAATTGCATTGTTTAGAATACTTGGAATATATGTTTAAATCAACCTCAGAACAGTTCTTACATTTCCCTTCGGATACTATAAGTGTATCTTACAACTGCAAATAGTATAATATTAAAGATAATATTGGTTTACAGAAACTGTTCGTAATAGAATTGAAATTGTATGTTTGATACTGTGGCTTTAGATAGATATATAGTTCTTTTAAAAGCCTTAGTCTACTTCTTTGAAATTGTGAACCAGAGGTTTACTAGCCTAATGGATGTGAAACATTCTAAAACACTAAGTATGTGCTAAATGCCATAATTATATCTTAAGATATGTTTTCCTGCCAGTGGCAAATTGGTCGTGAAGTGGTTGTTATTATTCAATTTTGTCTTTTCACTTTGTTCTTTAAAGGGGAGAATGCGTTTTCAAGAGTTCCACTTATGAATGGCCTGATTGGACCAACTCCCCATCTCCCTCATACACCCTTGGTCCCTGGAAGTGGGTTAGGTGCTTTCTCTACTATAACTCAGCCACCCTATGCCGACACCAGGTTGGTAAATCTGAGAGGTCTGGAATTTTTTTTTTTTTTTTAAATCACAGCTAGTAAGATGTTAAATCAACATGAAATGAAATTAGTAGGTTGGGCTCCTTAATTTCTCCCCAACACCAGAACACAGAGCAGCCAGTACTATTAGCAATTATAAGATGTGAGGTTTGAGGCAGTGCAGTTCTGTATGTAAAAATTGATATCTATGCCTTGTTTTGTGTTTTTAGAGATAAAAACACAGTATTTAATGCAGTGATTAATGATCCTACCAGTCCTTGGGTTCCATCTGCAACCCCCTTGGAAGGAGAAAGTGATACCATGTCTAATGCACAAAGGAGCACTCTGAAATGGGAAAAAGAGGAAGCACTTGGCGAAATGGCGACAGTCGCACCTGTTTTATACACAAATATCAACTTTCCAAACCTAAAAGAAGAGTTTCCAGGTATGTTGTAAAGTGTAAAGTGAGGTTTAGCAGGCCTATTGGATGCCCACTTTGTTTCAGAGTACTCTAATTTTTAAAATATTCTGTGAATCAGATAGTACTCTTGTGTCAGTAATACTTGTAGCACAAAATAATGCATCTGTCTCCCTTCTCTTCATCATGTTCTTAGATTGGACTACCAGAGTCAAGCAGATTGCCAAGCTATGGAGAAAAGCAAGCTCGCAGGAAAGAGCTCCATACGTGGTAATGAACCTCTGCAGTTTTATGAAAACATATTTTTCCTTTCCCCTTCAGCTTCTGTTGATAAGTCTAAAATTATTTTAAACTATGAATTGCTAAAAAGCATCCTGCTTCTGCAGAGTGCATTTTAAAACACAAAACCTAGCAAGACCAACTTGTTTAGTAGGTACTTTCCCAGGCTTCTTGGTGGGTTCAGCTAGGGTCCATGATAATTCACTGAATTTAAATTGATTTTAAAGATGTTTTTGTTTTTGTTGAGTCTTCTTCTCTTTTTCTTATCTCCTCCCCTCCAAGACATCCAACTGGATCAGATTGAGAGCAATGCTTTCTTTGTGAGCTTGTCTATACCCAAGGTCTCATCAAAGTGGTGTGTGACTGACAATAATAAGATTTGATACATGAATAACACATATATCCTGGGCCCTTTGATTGCCCAAGAGACAGAACAAGAAGCACATAAGTGCCTGAACCCTTGAATACTCTTTTTATTCAGGTCTCACCCTCCGTTATATGTTCCCAAAGCTGGAAGTGCCAAGTTGATTGATTAATTTGAGCTCTTTTGAAGAGAAATTCCAGGAGTAAAGATTGTCTTCTTTCTTTCATTCCTCAAGAACATAAATCAATGGTAGCTAAGGATTCTTGTTTTCCTTAGCTCACTACTTTTTGCTTTCCCAAATCTACTTTTTAGGCCATTCAGGTTTTGTGAATGCTTTGTGCAACATTTTGTAAAACATCTTAATATGGAATTTACATACAAACAGCCTGATTGATTTGATCATCTGGAGATGTAATAGAAAGAATCTCAGTCAGAAATAAGTGCTTAGGGCTTTTGGAAATGATTAAAACCCTATTTGTGGCTTAGAGTGAAGCAGTGCCATACTTCCTGGATTTCATTTTCTGTTTCAAATGCTTGGACTCTAAGCCTTGACAAAAAATACTACTTTAGCCATTGTGTGAACTGTTGCATCTTAATTCAGAACATCAGTTAGAACTCCTTTTCCTTAGTATTTCAATATTTATTGGTTTGTTCTTGTTGATGGCAACTTTGTCCTCCATATGGGTCTGCATAAATACATCTACTCTGTATTTATCTAGTGAAATAAATAGTTCCCAGGTACCTAGTTCCTCATTAAATCACATACATATTTTTGAAATCAAATAAATAAAAGAATAAGTATTTGCGGGATAATGAAAAGGTTGCTTTCATTTATGAATCAGGACCCAAGGAAATTGTGTTTGATCTTTTTTTTTTTAAACAGCAAAAAGCCAGAGATAATAGGGCTGCCTTGCGGATTAACAAAGTACAGATGTCTAATGATTCAATGAAGAGACAGCAGCAGCAGGATAACATTGATCCTGGCTCTCGTATTGAGACTGAACTCTTCAAGGATCCATTAAAACAGAGGGAATCTGAGCATGAGCAAGAGTGGAAATTTAGGCAGGTATGTTGCATTTACTGCTTGTTCTCCTATTTGTCTAGCATAGTTGCAAAAGGAGATGCACTTAATTAAAATTGGTTTTCAATAAAGGGTATGGAAATTTATTGTGCTCCCATTCAGCAGGTATGGGCAACCTAAGAGTGATGTGGCTCTTATGTCATAAATAGAACTTTAAATTAATTGGAAAAAGCTCATATTTCCAAGCAGAAATCCCATATTACACAAGGTTGAGGAGCTCAGAATTCATATTTCTGCCTTCATCATAGATGCAGAAGGAGATACTGAAATATGTAGTGTTCATTGGAAGTGATAGGTATTAAAGGCATATCGTAGATTCTGATGGCATGGGCTAGAGGTTAATAGAAGCTCTCTGAATTGTTTCATTCCCTATTGTTAGGACTGCAAATTGCAGAATTCCCAGTCACTTCCATACTTGATGAGAACTCTGGGAGTTTACAGAGTGCATCATTCTGGGGAGGGTTTGTTTTGCTTTACAGTAAGAGTTCAAACTTCACAATAATCAGATGATGCTGAACTTGTCTTTTTGGTGGGGAGGTGTTACATGCCCTGTAGTCATGTTCACATCCACATTTATTAAAAAAGAAAAAAAAGCCTTGTACATATAGCAAGATTTGAATGGGAGATTTCCAAAAAAAAGTTAGGTGGCTTGGATGAAACTTTAGATATGACTTGATATGCATCTGTTTATAGTGTCTGTCTGTCTTGTTCACTTTTAATGAGATCTTCTGATTTTCAAAGATACGTACTTTTAATAACTTCAGGTGGGACTTTATGAGAACAATAAAAGTATACCATTGTTTTCTGTGCTCTGGGTGTGTGTGTGTGTGTGTGTGTGTGTGTAGAAGCACCTGTAGGTTTACTATTTTGCTTTCATTTAATTTTAACTTTTCTCTTCCTTTTCTTGAAACAGCAAATGCGTCAAAAAAGTAAACAGCAAGCAAAAATTGAAGCGACTCAGAAACTTGAGCAAGTGAAAAATGAGCAGCAGCAGCAGCAGCAGCTGCAGCAACAACTAGGATCACAACAACTTTTAAACCAGTCAGGCTCAGATACCTCTAGCAATGGGATGCAAAGTCCTTTAACCCCTCAGACTAGCAATGGAAATATGTCTCCTGCACAGCAAGCGTTATATACAAAACAGTTGCCTGGTACTTCTACATCTACTCCTTCTGATGTTTTTCTAAAACCACAAGCACCACCTCCTCCTGTGACACCAAATAGAATGCCTGCTCAAGATGCTCATTGTCAGACTCCATCACAACAAACCTTCTCTCCTTCCCCCTCTACTCAGCCACCTTCTCCAGTTGACCCATATGCAAAAATGGTTGGAACTCCCAGGCCACCGCCTGTTAACCAAAATCAAAAATTTGTCAGGAGAAATTCTGCTACGTCAGCAGATATCTGTCCACCGCCATCAATACCCAGGCCAACTCAAGTATCTGAATCAATAGGAAGGAGACCGTCACCGGCCAGAGATTCATGTTCTTCATCCCCAGGCACCAGTGACCCTTATGCAAAACCTCCAGATACACCAAGACCTGTAATTGGAACAGAACAGTTCTCTAAATCTTTGGGGGTATCAAGATCACCTTTAATTTCAGAACAACCGGCAAGCAGTGACCAATTTGCTAAGCCACCTCCAAGGACAGGAAACGATACATTTCAGAGGCCCCGGATCGCTTCTACTGATTCATATGTACGGCCTCCGTTGACTTCCCCATCTGTTATTGAAGGACATTCCAGCCCATTTAAAACACCAGCGTGCCCAACTCAGTCTCCGCAAGATCCTTATACAAAAATGCCACCTACTTCAAGGAGAGTAGCTGTGGATCCTTATGAAAGGCCTGTTTTGACACCAAGGCCCGTAGATAGTTTTGTGCACAGTCCATCTAATGATTCTTACAACCAGTCTCAGTTGGCTTCACACTCAGCAATAAAGGATACTTTTGCCCATCCACAAAGAGGGTTGCGAAATCAGGGTGATTATTCTGGAACTCTTTCAAGGGCAGTTGCTCAGGATCCATATGCCCAGCCCCCGGGCACCCCTCGACCTGTCACAGACCCTTATGCCCAGCCCCCTGGTACCCCTCGACCTGCTCCAGTTGACCCATATCTGCATCAGCCACTCACACCAAGACCTCCACAGACAGCAGACTTATTTGCTCAGGTTTCAGCTAATCAGAGGCATTCTGATCTGTATGTCCAGCCTCCAGGTACACCAAGGCCAGTTACTAATGATCCATATTCTCAATCACCAGCAACTCCAAGGTCTGGAATTTCAGAAACTTACAGTAGGCCAATTCCCATGCCCAATAGGGATCCTTATCTGCAGGCATCACAGAGCAGGACTTTATCTGGGACTTTTATAAAGCCATCAGATCCATGTTCTCAGCCTCCAAAGCTATCAGGGCCTACAGTGACAGATTCTTTTAGCCATGCTCCGACAGCATCACCTTGTGATCCTTATGATCAGCCTCCAATGACTCCAAGATCTCAACCAGAAACATTTGGAACAGCTCAGCACCCTCAAGATGACCAATCTAGAAGTGGATCAGAGGGAAACTTCAGCTCCTCGGTAAACTCTTCCATGAATTTGCAAGGAAAACTATTTTCACAGACCACACAAGGTTCTGGCCCAGGCCCAACTGCAGGACTAACACAGAACACAATGTCTCAGACAGATGCAGAGAAATTAAGACAGGTGAATTTAACTTGTTTGATGTTACACTGGTAAATACTGAGGCATCATAGTTGAAAGAATCTAAGAATAGCTCTCAGAAACATAGAGACTGCTATCTCAATAAATCATTGCTTTTACAAAGAGCTAAAAGATACAAGTGTACAGCTGACTCCCTTTTGGCTAACATTGTCCTAGCTTTAATAATTATTTATTACATGAATATTATCCAGCATCTCCTTTGAGGGTTGAGGGTAGAAATGAGCTATAAAATTTTTATATTTCCCCCACCTCATATTATAGCCAGAATCAAGGAGCACTTAATTATCTGTGTTAACTACTGTTCTTTAGAGGACTGCTTTAAAAGAAATACTTCTTGGACCCAAGATTTGTAAAAATTATCATTCAGTGCTGAAGACCTTTGCATTGGGCCGCATGCTTGTGTGTAGTCATGTATCTCAAAGCTAAATTAAATGAGGCCAATTATCTAGAGCCATTTCAATCTAATTTCAAGCCTGTCTTAGTCTAGTGAATAATTGATTCTGTAAAGACATGAGGATTGTGAGTTCTTTTTATTATAATAATATTTTGGATAAGCTGTCTTGACTCAGGGATTGAGGCACTGTATTTCAGCACATCCTCTCCTAACTACAGGATTAATTCAAAACTGAAGAGACTGATACTAAGCCCAGAGGATCAATGTTTTGAGATTCTGTAAGATTTTTTTTGAAGTCCATTTAAAGTATGACAGATGGATAAAGTTTTAAGATGGGCAAATGCTGGTAAAAAAGATGATGGGTAGTATCTGACCTGTGGCAAGAAACAATTTTTTTTATCAAAAGAAGCAAAATGGCATTGTATAGGGGCACACTTTTTTCCCATTTGCTATATAGGACAGTTGGGTGCATCAGGATAAATATAAAAGTAAATTAGATCCTGTGGGAATGGGATAATTTGGGGGGGGGGTTTCCTTAAAGACTTAATTCAGGAGAAAAATATTTCTTAACAGCAGATTATAATTTTTTTTGTTCCATGTCAGCGCCAGAAGTTACGTGAAATTATACTTCAGCAGCAGCAACAAAAGAAGAATGCAATCCGTCAAGAAAAAGCGCCACCAGAGCCTCCTGCAGCAACTCCAACAGCACCTGTTCAACCGTGGCAGCAAGAAAATCTGAACCAGATTTTCAACCGGCCGCCACCTCCTTATCCTGGCAACATTAGATCATCTACTGTTCCTCCAAGTGGACTAAGGCTGGCAGGTTTTCCTGTTGATGGGCAGCTTAATAAACCTCAGTTTCCAGGAGATACAAGTGGCATGGGGATGAGGCCTCATGGAATTAGGTATACAATTACTGTGTCATTTTTATTTTTATTTTACTAAATTTGGACTATTTATGAAGAAGCTTTTCATGTTGAAGCATGTTCTGTCATTCAGAATGACCAAGAAGAATATGCATAAGTTCGTTTTTAATGCAGTAATTGTTCAATGCATATGTTAAAATATGCATCTTTCTTTGAAAGGGAGGAAACAGTAATTTTTAGCAGCAATTACTTAAAAAATCTTCATTACTTTTAACTATCCCCTTAAATAGCTTATGGTTTAAAATGGTATCTGAATGTAATATAAGTCAACATATTAAAGGTTACATGCAGTCACTTAAATTTGAATTCATGTTTTATTAAATATTCTATTTTGTAAAATAATGAACTGAGCACAAAAACATTTAGCTTTTGAGGTCAAAACATTCTGGCACATTAGGCATATATTATTTTTGTTCAAATTATGATTTTTATAGTCTGTAAATTAAGATATGTGAATGTTTATTTTCTGTGTCAGGCAGAAATGTGATTATGTCTAGAAAATACTATCCTTGCTGCTATAAAGTTCTAGGCATTTTAGATCAAAGAATCTTCTTACTGCCCCTTTCATACATACATAAATTATATGAATTAGCCTGAAACTTCATTATAATTATATGAATTAGCCTTAATTTACATCTTTTTTTTCCTGGTAATTTAATCAAGGTTTAAAGCAAGTTATATTGCCTTTAATTAAGTCAATATATTCTTTTTTTTTTTTAACTCTAATTCTGTAGTTCTTCAAAATACACATACAAGAATTTTTACCAGATTATATACAAAGAGCAAGCATCTGTTTTTAGCAGTAAATGGATAATGTGAAAATTAGCTACACAATTATTGTATTTGTTCATTATGAAGGAAATATTCTCCAGTAGATCATCCAACTCAATAAAAGCTTGTTTTTCTCTTTTTCAGATTTGGCTTTTCCAGTGGTGTCCATGGACCTCCACCTTGTCAAGATCATTTTCTTGGTCCACCACAACAAATGCAACGTGCTGGTGTCCCACCACAGCTTAGAAGATCCATGTCTATAGATATGCCTAGACTACCTAACAAGCCACCAATGAGTAATCCCATTGGCCTGTCACAGCATTTCCCACCACAAGCTATCCAGGTTCAACAGCACAACATAATGGGGCAGGCGTTTATCGAGCTTTGCCACAGAGCACCTGAAGTCAGACCAAGACTGCCTTTTAATTCCTCGTCAACTACTATTATGAGCACTGTTGCTGAGCATCAGCAACAAACTGAGCCTTTACCTAGACAGGATTGTCAGGGCCCAAGACACCTAGAACCCACAAGACGTAATTCTCAAAATTCAAACAACCCATTGCAGATTTCAACAGGTTTGGAGCATTTACCACCACCCCAGCAAGATAAAGTGAATCCAAATCATCCACCTGTACTTGTCATGTGTTCTTTGAATCACCCATCAATAAATAATGCTTTTTCAGGAGGCCCTTTGCCAATAACAAGACCAGCAAATGAAACAAGTGACTTGCAGATGCCCAGGCAGCCCACTGATAGTTTAGAAGAGAAACTTGATCCTGATGACCCCTCTGTGAAAGATTTAGATGTTAAAGACCTTGATGGTGTTGAGGTTAAGGATTTGGTTGATGATGATCTTGAAAATCTAAATCTAGATGCAGAAGAAGATAAAGGTGATGAACTGGACACATTAGATAATCTTGAAACTAATGATCGTCACCTTGATGATCTTCTGAGATCAGGAGAATTTGACATAATTGCTTATACTGATCCAGACCATGATTTGGGTGACAAAAAGGGTATGTTTAATGAAGAGCTGGATCTTAATGTCCCCATAGAAGATATACAGGGCAAGGCAGAAGACACTCAGCAGAAACCTCCAGATGATAAAGCTTCTGCTCCTGAAGAGTCTGTTTCTCCTCAGAAAAAAACTACTGAGATCAGTGAAATTAAAACAGAAGTGCTTTCTCCAAACACATTTGAAGAAGCTAAATGTAATCATGAAAAAAATGACAAAAGTGTGGCAGCTTCAAGTGCTCAGCATGATGGAGAAACAAAATCTGTTTTGCCTTGTAATGTGGAAGTAACTGATAAAGCAAATATAAATGAGGAAACCGCAGTCTCCAGTTCAGATGCTGTTCAATTGCCTGGTCAAAGCACAACAAGTTCTTGCAGTATCCCTGGATCTACTCCAGTTCTTACAAGCTTACTCGCTCATGGCAATTCAGAAAACCCTGACATAAGGTCACTAGACTCTCCCTCTCACCCATTCCGGACAGCACAAACAAATCCTGTTTCAAGTATTCCACAAACTTTAATTACATCTGCAAGTCAAAACATGGAAACTGTGTTACCCGAAGTCAACATGGTTCCACAAATAAGCCATAGTTTTTCACAAGGGACAGCAGTAAATTCAGGCTTTATCTCTGGCCAGCCACCTAATCACAGTTTGGGAGTAGGACAGCCTGGCAGTCAAACAGTGCCAGTTGTAAACAGGCCTCCTCCCAGTGGTATTCCTGGTCCTCAGCAGATGATGCTTCCTCAAACGTTGGCCCAACAGCAAAATCGAGAGAGACCTCTGCTTTTGGAAGAGCAGCCTCTTTTGCTGCAAGATCTTTTGGATCAAGAAAGGCAAGAGCAGCAGCAGCAGCGACAGATGCAAGCCATGATTCGTCAGCGGTCTGAGCCATTTTTCCCTAACATTGGTATGCTTTTGTTTTTTTTCCAGCCATGGTAATGTTGGCTGGGGATGTATACAAAATAGATGGAGCAAGTCCCTTTCTCTGTTGTCATGAATGCTAGTGTATCTCCATTTCTATATTTTATTTCCAGACTTCCTAGATGAAGTGTAGATTTGAACTTATGATAGTTGTTTTTATTAAGGGATCTTTTTGTAGATATTTATTCATACATTTATTCATATATTCATATATTTGATTGATTCATGACACTGATTTCTATCCCCCCAGCTCACTAGATTTTAGGTGCTTATAATTATAAAACAGCAACAATAAAATTAATAATTAAAGCAAACATTAAAACCATCATCATGAAAACTAAAAACTAGAGTAAGCCAGCAATCTTAGTTCCCAGAAGTATAGCAGAACAGTATACTTCTAAAAGCTGGATATACAGACCAAATTTGGATATTAATTTTTCTTAATCTTTTTCAAAAGAATAAAATTCAGTAAGGATCATGTGTGATTGCTTCAGTTCTGCCTTTGATTTACAGAATGTAGTATTGTATGTACTTGTTGGAATCCTTAAGAAACGCCCTAATGTAAATAAAAACTTATATTTGGGGGGATGAGAGTAGAGAATCTTCTACACAATTCATGATAATATTTTCTTCTCTTATTCTCTGTATACGCACATATATACACAAATATGGTTGCATCCCTTCCATTTCTGAAAATAAGCTATTACATTTCATTCCTGGCACTAACTCAGTGCAGGCATTAAGGGAAAAATTGACACTTCAGCATTTCTGCTTCTGCCAAAGTACTTATCTGAATCGCCAGTTGGCTTCCCGATCTTAGTCTTCTAAGGTCACATAAACTTTTGAGTGTAAACTTCTAAAATGACTGCTAGTAACTTCAGTTTGTGGTCTGAAACAAATTCAGTATATCCATGGAAATGGTTTTTCCTTTTCAGGTACACAACTTTTTAAAACATTTTTAAAAAAACCTTCTTGAATTGATTAACAGATATAAATAAGGCTGTAGTTCCCAGAATTCTAGCTAACATGGCTAGAATACTTTGCAAATATAATACATTCTAACATTCTGTCTTATTAGATTTTGATGCAATTACCGATCCTATAATGAAGGCAAAAATGGTAGCTCTGAAAGGGATCAATAAAGTTATGGCACAGAACAATATGGGAATGCCACCATTGGTCATGAACAGGTTGGTGAAAAATGACACTTTTGCCTAAAACAATGTTGTCTTGTTCTCTTAGATACCAGTATGAAAATACAGCTTTTCTCCTTAATCATCAGTTCAGTTCTTAGTTGCTTGTGCAGATACTAATGAATGTATTTACATAATTCTGTCATTGAATAATTTATTTCCTTTTTATTCCTTTTCTGTGTGCTAAATATATAGGTAGACATTTCTAGCTATAGCAGTAACTTTATGGGTTACATGCAAAGAACAATGGGCTGGAAATGACAAAATCAACTTTAAAAAAGAAAAGGAAGAGATCTTGATTGGGAAAACATAAAACAATGACAGGCATTAATGAGGAAATATCAACTTTGTCTTGATTTATATTATGATGGAATTGTTTGAGATTATTGCCTCTTCATTAATGCAAGTTGTAAAATAAACCAAACTGTCATTTTCATTTACCTATTACTAGATTTGCCTTTATGGGTCAGGCAGGGCCTGGAGCCCAAAGCAACGAAGGTCAGAATCTAATACCACAAGCAGTTACACAGGTAATATAATCTTTCCTGAGATCTACAATAAAGCAATTGAAAATAATAATTTTAAAGAACAATGTGGTTTAGTGGTTAAAGCCAGGAACCAAATCCCCAGCCATTCTTGTACAGTACTTAATGCAGGGTTTCTCAACCTTGGCAACTTTAAGATGTGTGGACTTAAGCTGGGGAATTCTGGGAGTTGAAGTCCACACGTCTTAAAATTGCCAAGGTTGAGAAACCCTGACTTAATGGATGGATTAGGTTCAATCTGAAATGTTACTTTCCCTGAGATACAGATGATTGTTGCTGTTGCTTCTGATTGCAATGATAATGGGTTTGGGGGGGAGGGTTAGGAGTGAGGAGCAATAGCAGATTCATATGTGAGGCATTGCACTTTTATGACTGGGGTCAGAATCATGCAAGTAACCTATGTGTATAATCTGGCTTCTGAGCTGCAAAAATCCCCATTCCCCAGCTCGGATCAGCTCAAGGAATTTTAACTTTTTTTTCCTCTTTTAAGGATGGTAGCCTAACACCTCAGATGTCTAGACCAAATCCTCCAAATTTTGGTCCTGGATTTGTAAGTAAGTATAAATCTTTTAACATGTTACATTCTTGGGGCTTGATTTCTAAAACTCAGTTCCTGCAATTTACAGAAACTTTACAACTTCTAAAATATTGTAAATTATTGAAGTTTCTCCCAGTAACTTTCGTTATTAATGAGTAGCTGGATATTTATTATGTTTATTATTTTTCTGTTGCTATCCAAACGCACTGTTGATCTTGCTGTTCGTCACCAAAGACAAATTCCTTGTATATATTTTATACTTTATATGGTTATTTTATATGGTCATTAAAGTATTTTGTATTGTATTTATTCATGTGTTTGTTTTTTACAGACCTAATACGTTTTTGTATAAAAGCGTATTCAGCCTTATCATTGATTTAAAATAAAATAAAATGCCATATTTTTCCGACAATAAGACGCCCCCATGTACAAGACGACCCCCACTTTTCCAACCCCAAAT